GAAAATAGTGGAATAAGAGTCTATATATCTGATGGAGAAAGAGTGATTCAAGTGCAGGTTTTTTTTCAGGATCAGCTGGATCTGTTACTAATATCTTCCAAAATCTAAACCAGCCGCAGCACGAATCATTCAGCGGACCCTCTGCTTCTTTTATAAGCAGAAGCTGTGATCGAGGTCTGAATCTCTCCGGGACCCTGAACCATCCTCTGGTTTCCTGCAGATGGCGCTGCAACGACAGAATAACAAGCATGGCCCCTCAGGAGGAGGCGTCATGTTGTCATGTCACAGAAACACAAATAGACAAAGCTCAGGCCAGAGACCTCCTGTTGAACCGACAGGTCTGCGCTCCAGCTGCTGGGATTAAACAAAATATTTAAACACTGTATGGTCAATTCAACTATACTCTGACAAACTGCAGAAGCAGCCATTTGATCACTATGGGGGAATTCAAGTCCATAGGACAGAGAATAAGAAACCATTGGTCGATGTGATTGCTCTTATATCCCATAATCAAAGTTGTTTTAAAATTGTGCCAGTTTTTAATGTTTTATAATGGTTTATTCTATGTGCATATTGACTGGTTAACATTTCATTTGTGTTTTACAGCTGTATTTGTCTGCCTGTATTGTTTTGTGTTCATTTGTTGTAACTGTGTTCATGCTGCCCTCTTTTTAATCTCACTGAGACGTTTACCTGGTTAAATAAAGGATATATATATATATATACAAGCACCACATTTCAATCTTTTCAATGACATAAAAGATCCTTAAACCTCCTCAAATACTTAATCAGGAGAGAGAGATTTGGTCCAAAGTGTACTGGAGCATTTGAATAGAAAAGCAAATACTAACATGGTGCACATTGTCTTAAATACCCCCCCCCCCCCTAATTAGAAACTAGTTCACCACAGGTTGGGAAAAGGCTGCATGTAATCAAGGTTTAAAACTACAATATTTAGAAAAGGTAATGTCTTAAAAATATAACTGCAGGGCATTACCTTCCCTTTGGACCCTGCACTTTATATACTGGGTTTACTGCCCAGTGATAAGATGGACAGAAATGTAGTTTTCTTACTAAGAATTCTTCTTCTAATTACAAAGAAAATGATAACGGTGTCGTAGCTGAAGCCCTCCGGCATAGTCCATCAGAGAAACAGGGTAAAACATGTTTATTTAATGGAGAAAATCACAGCGAGACTACAGATCAAAACTGATAGATTTGAAGAAAAATGGTCCCCATTAATACTTCGAGCAACACCTCTTTATTTAAAAAAAATGTTCTTTCTCATTTGTTTTGATTCACTGCACTTGTACTTGTTTCATCTGGATGGTAAAGCACTGGTTCTTACTAACAGGTTCAGGTATGTAAGTATGAATAATACATAACTCACAACAGAACCATGTAGATTAATCCCTTTTGTAATACTACTCCACGAAGGAGCATAAACTGTGGGAGTGGGAGTACTTGTTAAACCATCCTGACTTCATCAAAAGCTTTAGGCCGATCCAGTCAAAGACCTGACATTATATCCTGCTTCTTACCAATTTGTATTTGTTCAAATAGTCCAGGAACCCTGTAGTTTTAATCCGAACAACATTCGAATGAAGTGGTTTAGTCAAGGGTCTCATTAACACCTTTAAGGTTCCCCTCTCTCAAGGATTTCTTAAACCACAACATGAAAATCCCATAAAAGTCTTCAGACATCTGGAATGAGATACGCACCTTGAACACCTTTGAAAAACCCCTCAAAACCCTCACAACATTTTTCAAAAGTCTTCTTCCAATCTCCGAACTAACAGACTTTGACCCATAGCGTTTGGATATTAAATATGGTTTCACCAGGAGACACCCATAAGCGGTAATAAAACGAAACGGTAAACAAACACAGGAGGCGGGACCATAACCGTTTACGATGCTGTGTTAACAGAAATGAACCAATTAAGTCAAATACCTCACTTTTTGAGGCAATAACCTGAAAAAAGAGGTTAAAATCAAACAATTGAACCCATAACTTTGTGGGGAAAATAAAAAACACAAAATAAAAAGTTCCCAGACACAAAGGTATGTGCTGTTTTTTTTTAATGTTGTTAGCGTGATGTGATATTTTGTGTTGCTGCATTTCTATTTATACCATTTCCAGCGCTTGCAGTCGCAAACAAGATCTTACCGGGTGATCAGGGTCAATTAAGTCCATCAGAGGTCGATTAAGTCCATCAGACTCAGGTGATACGGGTCAACGGGGGACATTGGGATTGGGCCAAAGAGTTCCTGGATTCTGGACCCCTGTTTGTCAAAGCCTGAGTTCAAATAGGGTTAGTTTCTAGTAAGTAAACACATTCGGGAGTATCACTGAAACGACCTTAATGAACCTTTGAACCTCTTAAAGAACCTATGGGATGCTAAAGCTAGGCTTATGGTTTCTACCGTGGATTTCGGAACAATAACAAAGACTTCTGCATCAACATTTACCGACTAAAGACTCAATAGAAAACAAACCAAAGCTTTCAAATTCACTTTGATTTGGGAGTAAACAAACTGACTATTTGGGGTTGTGAAAGTGCCCTAAGAACCCTTTTTAGGATTTTTCATTTAAAGGGGACCTACAGTATCATGCAAAATGCACTTGTGTACGTCTTTTCTACATGAATATGTGTCCCCGGTGTTCCAGGGAACTCACCAAGTGTCAGAAAACACAACCCTCTCTATTTTCCTCCATACCCAAATCTCTAAAAAAGGGGCCGCAACGGATCTGATAAAAACTGATCCAGATTTGAACACTGTCCTGACGTCAGGAAAGTGGCGCTACGGCTATTGGGCCAACTCCACCAATCAGGAGGAGACAGCCACGGCCATTGCCGTTCGAAAGCGCTGGAGACGCTGTAGTACATATGCCAGGCCTGTAGATGGTGCTGTTCTCACTGAATCTGCCCTTGCAAAAACAAAGCCTTTGAACTTTGAACACCTGTGCCTAACAGCTCATAAATCACCAAACCAATCAAGAATCACTGAAATATTTCTAAGGAACAGGAAATTAAACAACTGATTTTTCTGAGACTTCTCGAGAATCGCTAGTACATCCTTGAAGGACCCCTGGATGGCCGAATATGCGGCGCACCTATGCGCTTATGCGGCACAATTAGTGTGGCGCTCCACTAGCACCCGCCCCCCCCTCCCTTGACGCTCGCGAAACATCATAGGGGGGGCCTCATCACATAACTTTGCGTGGGGCCTCATGTTGGCCAGGGACGGCCCTGACTGGAGACATCCTAAAATCCCATTGCATTAGACCCTCACATCACCCCCAAGAAAACCTACTGAAATAGCATTGGACCCCTTGACCCTCTGAACCACCAAACAACTCATACCTTCAACCTTCCTGTACCTACAGCTTTTAAATCAATAAACCAATCAAGAAGTCTTTAATCATTTCTAATGGACATGAAATTAAACCAGTGGAGGATCGCTAGTACATCCTTGACGGACCCCACTTTTAGAGCCTTGTGCTGGGGAAACCTGTGTCTAGAGAACCTCTTGAGGACTTTTTTAAATTTCAAGATCCTAAACATATAAATAGGACTGGAGACCTCCTAAAATCCTACAACCTCACATCACCCTTAAGAAAACCTAGAACCTTCATATAGAAATATCATTGGACCTTTAACCACAATCGTGACCCTCTGAACGCACCAAACAATCAAGAAGCCATTCATTATTTCTACTGGACATGAAGTTAGACAACTGTGTTCTCTGAGACTTCTCGAGGACCTCTAGTACATCCCTAAAGGACCCCTGGATGGCCCACGGACCCCACTTTTAGAGCCCTGGGGTGGTGAAACCTAAGGTCCTGTGGCCTAAGAACCTCTGGAGGACTTTTCAAATGGAGAGATCCTACAAATAAAATAGAAAGCATAGGACTGGAGATCTCTTAAAATACCATTGCATTAGACCAGGGGGGTCAAACTCAAATACACAGTGGGCAAAAATAAAGAAATGGGTACTAGTCGAGGGCCGGACTGGTTCAATGTTTATTGCAAAACGTATTGAAATGAACTTATTGCACATATTAAACCTGGAACTAACAAAGCTTAAATTATTGCCTACAAACAACATTAAACATTAAATAATCAGTTGCATTCATTTCTTATGGCTCGATCTGCAGCTTTTCCAGAGTCATTTCTTATGATCACATTTTTCCACAGGCCAACAACAGCTTCAACAAAACTATTTCCCTCAAAGAAAAAACCAAACATGCCCTGCAACTCAGTGTGCTGCTCTGTGATGCTAGCTCAAGCCAGATACTTGGCATCTCATCTTGGGTGCAAGTTCATTAATGTTTGGGGTCAGGCTCTGAGCTGAGGAGACCCTCAGGATTGAGTGAAGGTGTGCGTGCAATATACCGGAGGGCCAGATCTAATAGTAATTCGAAATTATCCTGCGGGCCGAAATTAAATCCACCAAGGGCCTGATTTGGCCCCCGGGCCTTGAGTTTGACACATGTGCATTAGACCCTCACATCACCCCCAAGAAAACCTAGAACCTACTGAAATATCATTGGACCCTTTGATTTGGGACTAACCCAATTGACTATGAGGTTGTGAAAGTGCCCTAAGAACCCTTTTTTAAGACTTTACAATAAAGCAATCCTAGAAAATATAATAGGACTGGAGACTGGCTAAAAATCCAATTGCATTAGACCCTCACATCAACCCTAGAACCAACTGAAATATAATTGGACCTCTAACCACAATTGGGACCCTCTGAACCACCAAACAACTCACACCTACAACCTTTCACTTTCCAAAGCTTTTAAATCAAGAATCACTGAAATATTTCACATGAAATTAAAGATCTCTGGAGGATCACTAGTACATCCTTGAGGGACCCCTGGATGGCCCACGGACCCCACTTTTAGAGCCCTGAGGTGGTGAAACCTAAGGTCCCGTGGCCTGTCCGTGCTGCCTCTTTCTCTGCTGTCACTCTGAGCGACTCGCAGGGTTTTATTTTTGGACTGCCATGGCGTCTGTTCCTTCCATTTGTAGGACGGGGGGGTCGGGCTGGGCTCAACATGAACCTGCGCTCTAACAATCCGGCTGGGAAAAGCAGGCAGCAGCCGGCCGGCCGCCCCCCGAGCAGCAGTAGCACAGGTAAACACCCCAAAATTACACCTTTTTAATCTGCAGGTAGAGAACAGGGAAGCTGGGGAGGCAACTGGTGTCGAATGCAAGACATCTGCAGCCAGAAATCTGACGTGTGATTGGATGAATCGGTGTTTCTTGCACCATCAGAGCTGAGCTAAGTGTTAGCTTTGCACTGTGTCTACAACACACTGTGCTATGTATCTGCAATAAGGCATGACTGGATGATGAGCACATGTTAGCTTTGAGGTGTTCCTGCTGTGTGATTATGGGTAATAAAGTGAGGTGTGATATTGAATCAATGTTCTCTTCTGTCAAGGGGAACCTGCCTGGAGCGCTTTGAAACACCAGCAAGAAGTTTTTACCTGGTATGTTCCTTCTTTTTCCTTTTAAACTATGTGTATGTGTGTGTGTGTGTGTGTGTGTGTGTGTGTGTGAAGCCTCGTAACTTCGCCTAATGATTTCTTTTTGGGGTGGATTCATTTACTTAAAGGAGGGCATTGTGGAGCGGCTTGGTTTTTTATTACACGTCTATTAATACCCTTTCCTCTTTTGAACTCGCATCCTGAAGGCGCTCCAAATACCGAGCCTACCCACAGCCTTAAAAGGAGGAGCGGGTTCTCATGTGTCGGTTCAGAGAGGGAGGTGGGAATAAGGGGGGCAGCTTGAAAACACTACCACTACTGAGGTGTCACTCATAATAAACCGAGGATATAATAATAATAATAATAAAGCTTTACTTATATAGCACTTTTCATACAGCACGTGCAGCTCAAAGTGCTTTACATTGTGCACACATCACAAGTTCAAAATAAACAACAACAGATTCCCCTCAGGTCACATGTGAAAACCTTTAAAGGTGCGTGCAGCAACATATCACATGTTATCAGGTTAGGAGACACGAGGAGGTAAAAGGTATGATAATCAAAATGAAATAAATAATTATTTCTCTCCGACAGATAAGACACAAGACAACTGAGTCGATGCAACGATATATAACCCTATAAAACAAAGTAAACATATCGGTTCAACAGAAATAAAGATACAAAGATAATAGTAATATAAATGTCATGATTCTAATAAAGGTTAAACGATTAAAATATTTAAAAACCAACGTAAAAATAAATGTTGCTATTGAAACTGCTTTTAAATCAATAATATAAGATAAAACCTTTTAAGACCTATTAAATAAATACAATAATATAAAAGTAGGTCAGACTAAAAGAACCTTTAAAGTGGGGGGTTGCTAATAAAAAGCTAATCTAAAAAGATGTGTCTTTAGCTGGCGTTTAAAAGCTGCCGCTGAGCTGATATGAAACAGTTGTTTTTGTACAGACTGCTCGGTCAGCTATGATCAGAAACGTCATATTAATGGCACTGATGCTATGTGAGAGTTATTTTTACTTCTCAGGGATTATAAATGTGTGAAACAGTTCCACTAAATGTCTCCATGCTTTTATTTTAAATTCCTGTCCTCTCGTGTGATTGGTTATTCTCAGTGACAACATATTTCTGACGCCCTATCAAATGTCGTCGGGCTGTGATGTCATGAGGTCACATGTTCTGCATTCACTTTCACCCTTCAGCAGATATATATACACAACATCTATATCAGTGTTTATACTTTAACACAGTTAACAGAAAACAACATTTTGCACTTTTACACACAACAATTTGCCTTGAAACTAATCCTGTCCCAGCTCCCCAGAGGATGAACCATTTTGATTTGAATTAGCTCATGACACCATTTTTATTTTCATTTGGTGCTTCACTACATTTAAGGCTGTAAGAATAGCTGAATCATCAGTATGTTGTTCGATCTGTTGCATTATTTAAGTGATCTTTTAAATTGAGTTGCATGATTTTAAGGTCACACATTTAATTTTTAAAAGATTTTTTTGACATTTTCACTCAAATTTAAGCCATAAATCTTAGTTATTGTATTACCTACAGGCATGTATCCTAATCAAACCTCTCGTGTTGTTGCACTTAGAGCCAAACATGAAAGCATCACCATAAATATTGACCCTCGGGATGTTGATCAGCTGATAGGTGCACACATAATGCAGTTGATGCTGAAATATGAGCTCAGTTAGTGTACACTACACAGTACTCCTTTTACATGGAGTAGCTCCACCTGATCTGCACACCACCCTGATTTATTGTGTTTCGGGGAAAGTGATGCAGCCTGTAAAAAAAGGGCTGGAGTCTTAAAAAAGCAAAGCAGGTGATTGGCCGGCCTCCAAACTAAATTTAGTGTCGGGGAAAAAGCTCCCAGGATCAGCTGTGAGGCGTAACATCATCCGGGAAGAGTTCAGAAGATTCTCCTGCTGTTCTCTGGCTTCTATAAACGTGATGAGTCATCCAGGATGAGTGCATCTGTGTTGACTTTCACACACATGTTTTTAACGTGCATGAAAACCTCTTAAAACTCAAATTACTGATGTTTGTTTTAACCTTTGTTGGAGGATTACACGCTCCTTTGCAGGCACAGGACATGTGCTCTTTCTGTCAAACTCCAATGGAAACATTTATACCGTAGAGGATGAGGACCACATGTGAATAGTTTTTTTTTATCTGACCAAAAGTGAATTTTATGTGGGGAATTCTGAGAAAAAAGTCCAAATGTAAAAATAAGTCATCGGAAAAAAGATATCACATTTGGCCCTAATCCTCTTCCATACATGTATTATCTATAATAACATTAATTTAGATATGCATTTTTCTAAATGACAGTCTCAGTTTTATGTTTTTGGAGTGCCTTGTAAACAAAGATGTGATTGGTAAACCGCTTACAGATGTCCCGCCCCTTAGCCTATCACATACAATGTCTTGGAGTGCTTGCTTTTTTAAAATAAGACTATTGGCCAAAACCAAGTCGTATTTATCTTTTAAAGACTTAGAAAGGGTTATTAACGCCTTTGTAACCTCAAGACTGGACTATTGCAACGCTCTGTATGTGGGTATGGACCAGGCCTCAATTAAACGCCTGCAGCTAGTCCAAAACGCAGCTGCACGTTTGCTGACTGGCCACAAAAAGCGTGACCACATCACCCCAATTCTGGCCTCATTACACTGGCTTCCAGTTCGGTTCAGAATTGATTTTAAAATCCTTTTATTTGTTTTGAAAGCCCTAAATGGGCTGGCTCCGGCCTATATAGCCGAACTCCTCCAGCGCTACACCCCAGCCAGAGCTTTAAGGTCTGCTGACCAGCTGCTGCTGGTAGTGCCCAAGACCAGGCTTAAAACCCGAGGGCACCGAGCCTTCGCAGCAGCTGGCCCCAGGCTCTGGAACACTCTGCCCCTCCATGTGAGGTCGGCCCAGACCCTAGGGGTTTTTAGATCTACACTAAAAACACACTTCTTCTCTCTGGCCTTCTAGTTAGAGCGGAGCACGACTCCTGACTTTTCCTTGTGTGTTTTTTTTTTTAATATATATCTGTTGTAATTTATTGTCTTTTATTGTGATTGCAGTAATGTGTTTTTATCACATGTACAGCACTTTGGCTCGACCAAAAATCGCTTTTAAATGTGCTTTATAAATAAAACTTGCTAGCATAGGGGTCAAAACATTTAACGAAATCATCATCTGGGGACCATGAATCTCCAAAAGTGATTTGATGGAAATTCAAACAGCTTTTGAGGTGTTTTTTTTTAGGACCAAAATAGACAAACTTAACATCTTAGATGTAAAGGGATATATAATGATATGATTATGGTTTAGTAATCCGATGGTCTAGCAATACATACAAAAAAGAAGCTAAATTAGAAAATGATTTTAATTTATTTCAGAAAAGTGGTTACAAACACATACAATCAGACAGCTCAGTATATGCATATTAAACGTTGGAAAATGTCTGTATTAATACAGAGTAAACAGTCTGATAAAAACACAAACAGGAAATGAAATTTGATTGTATGGTATGGTTGTATTAAGGTTGTTGAAATGTAAAATATACCAAATACATTTTCTCAGAATTGTTTTAATCAGTATTAACTCTGCTTTTCCAGTGTGTCTCGAGCGAGCAGTTTTCAGATTGTTCTTCAGCCAATGTTTAAGTGCAGAACAGATAAAATAACCAAGTGGTACGTATACAAATAAATGTACTTTGCAAAAGTTTTCCTACACACCATCACACAAGGACAACCACACGTTAGGAATGGTTCACCTAAACACTGCAGTGGAGAGGAACAGAAACATTAAGGCTCACAGTCAGATATATACATCATGAAAACACTGAATGTCAGGAAATACAAAAGCAAAGAGGAAATAATAAAAATATAGACATTTGATGATTTTTGGACTTTTGGTTTGAAGTTGTCCAACTGAGAGTCAGAAAAAGTGACTCTGTTTATATATGATGACTTTAAAGGCCAGCCGACGTCTTTGTTGGATCAGGAAACCTCCTCAGTAATCGTCATGGTATAAATCTGCAGAAGACACACAAAGAAAATGTTCAATATGCAGATATTATAAACTGGTCCAAATGTCAGTGTGGTTACCTTAAGTCATTTTACAAGGTTACAGGTTGTAACACTTTTAGGTTTAACTAAAATAGTACGTTAAGAATGTCATTAACTTAGGTTTGTGGCATTTTTTAAGTGGATTTTTGGCTTTAAGGGTTAGGGTTAGGGTTATTAAAGGATGTTTCTTAGTGTTACGGCTCAAGTTGTGACCATCAACATGTAGTTAAAACGGCAAACCCGATAAAGTTTACACAAACAATATGGTTTATTGATTTTAAATTGTAGTACCTAACTTATAAAAAGGTACAAGTCTGGAGGACAAAACAAGGAGGAATCCTGGGCCAGCCTGGGTTAAAATAAATGCATAGGCTTAACTAAGAAAAGAAGACCACGAAAACTTGGCTACCAGGTTCTCCGTACTAAAAAACGAAGAAATAACAGGAAATAGAACCAATGGCTAAGTGTGAGTGAGTCAGAGAGAGAGCTCCTTTTCCTCCAGCCCCTAAATACTCCTGATTAGTTCAGATCAGGAACACCTGAGCAGAGGAGAGAGGAAGGGGGAGTGCGTAACATTAGGGAGTTTAAGTTTCTGTTAAACCAGATCCAATGACTTTGTTCTTGACGTGGTATGAAGCTGTCTTTTCTGACAATATCTATTTTTTGTTTTGTTTCTTCTCAGGGTGCCAAAGCGCTCATGGCTGTCGCTTACGGGGCTGTCAGCAACCCGGGTCTGCTTTACCAGCAGTACCCTCCGCCCCTGCTTCCCAAACCTGGAAAGGACAACGTTAGGCTTCAGAAACTCCTCAAGAGATCCGCCAAGAAGAAGGCCTCCGCTCAGGCATCGCAGCCCGCCACGCTTTTCCGCTCCAACCTCTCCCCCGTGAACGAAGCAAGTCCCGACCTCGAGCACAGTGACCACTCAACGCCTCCCAAGACTCCAGAGACACCGTTCAGTCTTTTCAACGTCCAGGAGCCTCCGAGGTTCACCGTCAGACCGCTTTATCGACATGTGGCGTCGCCTTACCCACATCGAGCGGCATACGGGAGACCGGGAAGATTCTCCCCTCAGACGGTGGCGAGCCCATTGTACTCTTACCCGCAGAATACTACCATCGTTTCTTCATATTCTGCGTCCACCAACGTGTCTGAAGTCTCCACAGCTACGTGGCAAGTCGCTGAGCCTGCGGTGCCAACAATATCTTTACTGCCAGCCTCCTTTACACCTGAGGCAACAGTACCAGCTGCTGAAATAAGAAAGCCGGCTTTTAGCACATTTGCTGACAATAATGCCGGTCTTAGACCTTTCGCAACTGGAGGGATGCGACAAGCAAAAAGTCCAACTCCTTATCAAGCAATGGGGGGTCAAGCTCTGATTCGTCCGCTCACTGTTTTGATCCCGATGGCCAAATGCAGGAGTCCACGTCCAACATTCAAAGCGACCGAGCCTTCAAGATCGCCCAAACCAATGTTTGATGTTCCCAAAATTAGGATGTATACGGCGAGCACATCCTACTACGAGTCAACCAGGACCACACCGGTGTACGACACAGCTGCTTTAACCGCCATTGGCAGCACAGCATCTCAAAGTAAAGCACCGGCAGAAACCATGCAAGATTTGACTCCCGTATCTGAGGTCAGAAGAGGGACAACTCCGACGGCTCTGCCTCCTTTACTGGGCCCAGATCCCCAGAGGAAAACACCAACTTCAGAAATTAAAACGGGCACCACACCAACAACGGAGATAAATACTATAATAACACCTACGGTTGAAATCCTAAGAGCAACCCCAACTTCTGAAATCAGAGTTAAAACACCAACAGGACGGCCTCGAACCCCGGCATACAACAAGAATCGGGCTGGAACGCCGGTCTTTGAAGTCTCAAGACCGAATCCTCTCTTGTTCGCCATATCGCCAATCACAGTAGAGCCAGAGAGGTCAAGAACGCCCAAAACACTTTCTGCGATGAGCAGTTTGTCTGCTTCCCAAAGTGAGAGGATCAGTTTGTCTGCTTCCCAAAGTGAGAGGATCAGTTTGTCTGTTTCCCAAAGCGAGAGGATCAGTTTGTCTGTTTCCCAAAGCGAGAGGATCAGTTTGTCTGTTTCCCAAAGCGAGAGGATCAGTGAGCCTAAGCCTGCTGAAATGATACCAAACGGGGACATTCATTTGGTCATGACTCCAGTGGTAAAACCAATCCAACAGAGCATCAATATGACAATATCAGAGCTTGATCTGTCAAGAGAAGCTGCTCCAGCTGGCTCTCAAAGACCTAAAACCCCAACAACTGAGCCAAAAACACCAGCAGTGACTTCTTACAGCAACCAGAGGCCTAAGACTCCAACATACGAGGCATCCCGACTTATGACCACTTCGCCTGGTTTTAAAAGACCAAGGACACCTACGTACGGGATGTCACCATCACCTGTAGGCTTTCAGAGACCTAAAACCCCGACTCAAACTGCTAAAAAATCAAAGTCTGGCTACCGTGGATTGACACCGGCTGAATATGCTGCTCACGGAGGAATTAAAACCTACTCTCCAGCTTTTGGTATCTCCGGTTCCAAGATGCAAACTGAAGAGGAGGTTCAAGCGCCAAAAGAGGAACCAGTAGAATGTAAAGCACCTATTCAAGAAACACCTGTGAATGAACAAGCTATGCCAGAGGTGTCTAAAGCTAAAGAAACTCCCAAAGAGGTAGAGAAACCCCAGGTGAGGGACGTGAAGGTTGCCGTCACCCCTTCAATTCCCATCATTATCGTTTCACAGGCGTCTGACACCTTTGTAACAACGATAGCACAAGAGACAAGCATGGTTTCCAGTCAGGTTGCAGCAAAACAAGAGAAAACGGTGATCCAAGAACCACCAAAGTCTAAACCCCCAACAACACAAGGGACAATGTCTCAGAAACCAGTTCAAGGAGTCGCCAAACCAAAGACGAATCCTCCTGAAGTCAAACCTGTGCCCAAAGGTGACGACCAGGATCCTCTGAAGGCAATAAGGAAACTATTAGGAAAAGATCAAGTCCAGAAACCTGTACCTGAGACAAAAGCTGATGTTGCGTATGAGAAAGAGCCTGTAGCTGAAAGCAAGACTAAAGATGGAGGCCAAAAGCCCAGCACTGCAACAGGAAGTGAAGAAAAAGGAAAAGATAAGAAAGAAGAACCAGCTGCAGTTAAATCTGCGCCGGAGAGAAAGGAAAGCGTTGAATCCCTCCCGGCTGAGGCCCTTCTGAAAGTCATGCAAAAGCCAAAGGGAGTGAAATCCAAACTGAGCGGTTGGTCCAGACTCAAGAAGCACATGGTGGTGGAGCAGGAAGAGCCCATATTTCCAGAGGTTGGCCCCAAAAAGGAGGCCGCTGGGACGGACCAGAAAGAGGTGAAAAAGGCCGGAGAGAAGGCCGTGGAGAAGGCCGTGGACAAGCCCGAAAATCAAGACGAGAGCGAAACCAAAGACGCTCCCGTAGCGGCCAAAATGTGGAACGCCTGTCTCTTCCAAATGTTCAGCACTAAGGAGAACATCATGCACCAGATCGAGCTGAACAAAAGCGAGGACAAGAAGACGCAAGACGAGACAGACGACCAGAAAGAGGTACCATCGTTCGCCCAACGGCTGCCCTTGCTGCTCTTCAGTCCAAAGTTTGACGCTAAAAGGCTGAAAGAGGCGGCGTCAAGGCCGACGACGAAGATTTCGACAGTTTTTGAAATGGGTCTGATTGGGCGGAAAGGTCAAGAAGAGGAACCAAAAGACTTTAACAGAACAGCGAGGGGGTTCGCCGCAACTTAAGCTAATACAATATATATAATATATACGTGCCAAGGTGAAAAAGAAGTTATGATATATGTTCAATGTACAGGTGCAGAAGTCTCAGTGTTTAAAACGAATGATGTTTGTGTTATAGAAAAGTCCGCTTTGGACTTTATACTTGACAAGTGCTTTGTGTTTCATTTGTGTGACTGGTTGTCTGGATGTTTTGCGTTTGTGGAAAAGCTGGAAAAAGAGAAAAGTGTGTCTGAATTCAGACGTCACCTCCGATTAAAGCGTTTATGTTTTCAGTAAAATCAGAGCTTCTCGTTTGTTCCTCTCATTGTTCTTATAATGCAAGTTAAACATTGAAATTGTGTTTTTGGTTAAAAGTTCTTGTGAATAATTCATAACTCTTCAAAAACAAGATTACATTTGTTTGGGTCGATCACACACTGTCTTATCCAAAATGCTAAATAACGCTAAATAAATTGAGTATTTAAAAATGATCATTTTGTTACACAAATCAGATCTATCAAATGCAGCACTTTGCATTGTGGGAATGTTAGAAGGAAGTTGCCTAGGTGTGGATACAATTATATAAACTAACCACAATTAATTAAAAAAAACAATTCAAATGGTGGACAAAAAATACTGTACAACATTTCTCAAATATAAAAATTGTAAATATGTACAGGTTTAATTTAACTACAGGGGACAAACATATGTTGAATACAATACAATAATTAAAACAAAAAGCTGCCTATATGACAAAAAAAAAATTACTCAATATAGAAATAAAGAAAATAATATAAAAAGATATTTAAAAATAAAGTCCCCCTTAATTTAAAAATTAAAGTTGTCCAAAAATAAAAATAAAATATTAGAATAAATAAAAACAAAAAAACATGTAAACAGAAAATAATGAATTTTGAAATAATTAAATATCATATAAAACATTTTGAAAATGTAGATAAATTAATTGTAAAAATACACACATTTAAAAACATGTATTTTATTTTATGTATTTTTTTATTTATTTTTTTTATTTATTCATATGCAAAATATAATTGTTCCATTTATTCCAATAAATACTGGATTGTCTTTATTTGATCTATATAGAAAAAATATATTTGGTGTTATGGAAAGATTATTTGATAGATTAATACAAATACAAAATAATATAATATAAAGAATTATAAAATAAAGAATGTGTAAGGGATGTCTTTAAGAAGATAAGCGTGAGTTTTTCTTTACACATTGAGCTCCACAGAGAATTGATATCATTTTTCATATAAAGAAGTTTTCACATGCGTTTGTGTCTCACCGTCTTCTCCGTCAGCAAACTCTTCTCCATCCTCGTCCACGGGGATCTTCTCGTATTTTCCGTGACCAGTGACGACAAATTTGTACTTTTTACCAGCTGCTGAGCCCTGGACGGATACAAAATATATAAACATAACTCATCTCAGTGTTTTTAAGACTCTATTTCATGCAGACCAGAGATGGGAAGTAACTAAGTACATTTACTCAAGTACTGTACTTAAATACAATTCTGAGGTACTTGAGTATTTCCATTGTATTCTACTTCTAGGTAAATGGTGTACTTTTACTCCAATACATTTATTTACTACATATACTTTTACTCTAGTACAAGATCTGAGTACTTCTACTTTTACTCAAGTACAAGATCTGAGGACTTCTACTTTTACTCTAGTACAAGATCTGAGTACTTCTACTTTTACTCAAGTACAAGATCTGAGGACTTCTACTTTTACTCAAGTACAAGATCTGAGGACTTCTACTTTTACTTAAGTGATAGATCTGAGTACTTCACATACTATAAACACAGATACAGTTTTGGGAGACTAAAAATGTTATCAATAAGTAAAATTACATTACATGTCACTTGTTAGACGCTTTTATCCAAAGCGACTTTCATACTCAATTCTGTGGACAATCCCCACAGGAGCAATTTGGGGTGAAGTGTCTCAGGGACACAACGACATGCTGACTGCAGTGGGGTTTGAACCTGTGACCCCCTGATTTGAAGTCCAGCACACTAACCACTGAGCCACAGCCTAGATAAAATCTATCCATAACTGTGTGTGTGTGTGTGTGTGTGTGTGTGTGTGTGTGTGTGTGTGTGTGTGTGTGTGTGTGTGTGTGTGTGTGTGTGTGTGTGTGTGTGTGTGTGTGTGTGTGTGTGTGTGTGTGTACCTTAGCACTTTGTCCTGGTCTCCCTGTAGAGTCTCCGATAATCTCCCACATGTTTTTTTTCTGCATCACATCTCCGGGCCTCACGTCCTGACAGATTAATCAATAATCAATAATTAATAATTAGGTTATATCCAGTTTCTCCACAAGAGGGAAACCTCACATTAACAAACTGTGCAGCTGCTCCTGAACACACCACGGTCAGTCAGTGGGGGAAGTTGTTTTACTGAAGTACAAATATGTTAAAATACTACACTCAGGATCCAACTGAAGTAAAACTATTAGCATCTGAATGTACTTATCTTATCTTGAAATTGAGTAGTTCAAAATAATGACTTTAAAAAAGTACGTTATATCTGAAGATAATAAGTATGTCCAAATAATGAGTTTTTATCTCAAATAATGACTTGTTAAATCAAAATAATGGCTTATTATCTTAAAGAAGGACTTATTATCTCAAAAATAATGGCTTAGTATGTCCAAATAATGGCTTAATACCTGAAGATAATGACTTATTTACGGATATAATACTTATTATCCCAAAATAATGACTTATTTTCTCCAAATAATTACTTTGTATGTCAAAAAGGGACTTAAAGGTCACCTATCATGCTATTTTTAGGCAATAGCATACGTCTCAGATATATAAAAATATATAAAAAACATGTCTATGAAGTGTTTTGCTCAAAATACCAAACAGAACGTTCTAGCCATGCCTCATATCCCTCTATTTCACTTCCTGTTTCTAAAGTGCTGATTTGGGGTATAAAGCTTTAAAAAAAAAGAATTAATAACAAATAAAAAGTAGGGGTCTGAGCCCATGCGGGACCCGGCAGCTACTGTCTAAACTAAATACTGCCGTGATGAAACGCCATATCATGGATTATCAAGGATTGTTTCTGAAACAGTATGGAGCTCAAAGGCTTTCTCTCTTGCCGGTTATACCACAAGGTGAGTTCCTTTTTATTTCCTGCTTCTTCACACACATGCTCTCCAGTACAGGTTAGCTCTGAGTGTTAGCGATGCTAATGTAAACACCGACCATATTACGTCCAAAACAGTCGGGCATTGTTTCTGATAGCAGCGTTTCTGATAGTGCTGTGGGTCCACATTTCAGATATTACGTCATATCGGACGCAAATCTGGATCAGCTCCGTTGTTCCCCCGTTTTTAGAGATTTGGGTACGGAGGAAAAGAGAGAGGGTTTTATTTTCTGACGCTGCGTGAGTTCCCCGACACACCGAGGACACATATTGATGTATAAAAGACATCAAAAAGTGCATTTTGCCTGATAGGTCCCCTTTAATACCTGAAGATAATGACTTAGTATATAAAGTAAGGACTTAGTGCCTCATAATAAGGGAGTGTTTCTGACTTACTGCGGGTTTAAGCAATGTTCTGCTGCCGTCCGTCGGCCCCTTCACCCACTGAGTGATCCGATTGGCCACACCCACCTTCAACCCCTCAGTGTCCTGATGCACAGAAAATAAATACAATAGATTAATTGATTTGTTAATTAACTGCTTCAATCAATATCAAAATGTGCTACAATTATTTCGGCGAGTTTCTAATCTGCTGGAGGTTTTTTTTGGAGTAAATTAGCTCAAAGTAATTGCCATGTTGTCAGTTTTATGGTCCGTACGGAAGCCCTGAGAGGCAAATGAAGAAAAAAAAAATCAATCAAACCAATTATTTTTTAAGTCTGATTCCCTCCAGTCTTTATGAATAAAGGGCAGGTGGAATTTTCTTTACATTTATTTTAACTTTTGTCATGTGAAAACATCTTTCATTGTAGTTGTAATACTTATTCCAGCCACAAGAGGCTGTAGTGCACCACTACTCCATGTTCTAAAGGAGCAAAAGCATTCATGTTTTTCTAACCAGAACTGCATTATGTGCAACTAAACCCTATTTTTCCGGGTAAAAAAATCTGCTTGAATATATTTAATTCAGATTTAATGACAACCTTTTTTGTTGTTGTTGAAAAAACACTACAATTCTGGTAAAATTACGTTGGGTTTTTGTGTTACTTTCTGCAAATTCACATCACTGTTTCTGGTGTTTAACACACTTAAGTCACTTTCTCTTGGGGTTTTAAGGAACGCAGGTACTTCCTGTTGCAGTACGAAGTGAGGTTGCTGTAGAATTGTCCAAAAATAGGCTCCTATCGTCTTTTCCTAACCACTATTCCTTAAACTCTGTGAGAAACGTCTCAGGGTTAAAGAAAAGTGGTTCGGAGAAATCATGAGGAATGAGGAAAAGACGGCCATTGTGCTTTGAGAATCCGACTATACTGACATTATCCAACGTATTTATGACGTTATTAATGTACGTCTGCCGTGATGAAACTACAACTACGGTTGTTTCTCTGAATGGTCGTGGTTGCCGCCGCAAGGCATTGTGGGACAGCATTTTCTCTTTTCATTTCGTAAAGGAAGGTCCAGTGTTTCCTAAACTAAAGGAGGTTATAAAGGGAGTTTCAAAACTCCTTTCCTATCATCTAGAGAATTCGAACAGCTCTTATCATGGCTGCCACTTGGATTCTTCCAGGTAATTTCACTAAAAACTAAATTGACAATTCGACCGCAACCCGGGTTAATCGTGTACTTCCTGTTGTAGCAGGAAGTGGTGTTTTCTTTGAGTGTTTTCTCACCTTGCAGCTGGCCCCCCTGCTGGGACTCCAAGTCTCTCCGGCCTCAAACAGGTTCTTCTTGGAGGAAACGACCTCAGGTGAGCCAGGTAAGTCGCTCAGTGATGCCTTCACTGCCCTCGCCTCCTGGGAGTTCTGCTCAACAAACAACACAAACTGGGGTTTAGAGAACCGTAAAGCTGTCATGTGACAACATCATAATTTTTGGGGGTTACGTAATAAAATGTCTCCGAATAATGCTAACTTCTGGATGAACATACATACTTCTTAATGTGGTGGTATTATCATATATTTAAGATATATTAAACTTTCTATAATACAAGCATTACAACTTTATCAAAATGTCTTTTATTGCACTTTTATTTACTCTCCACTAATAATAATAACACCTTTCTAAAAGAGTTCACCTGCAGCTTGTTCCCCTGTTATCTCAGCCTGAGGTGAGGAGTA